AAAAAAAAAAAAAAAAAAAAAATATTAAAAAAAAAAAAAAAAAATTATAATAAAAACAACTAACGATACGAAATTTAGTTTTTAGGTTTTTAGCGTTGTTACCTTGCTATAATACGTGCTTTTTATAAATACCGTAGGATTTATATATTGTTGTACGATAAATAATTACTGATCTTTTATAATTATTATTATTATTATTATTTTATTATGTATAGGAAAAATAAAACGGATATTTGTTAGCAATAAATTTTTGAAACACGACGTATTGTATTATTATTGTAAAAATATCATTGTTTATTAACCTTTTATTGCGTTTTGTACGTTATTGCCCGACCGCCGTTGTTCGCTAACCCGATGAGAACGTTACTGCGCCATTACCCGTTCGAACCGCCGCGCAGGCAACGGTCGTTCCGGTCCGTACACGGCGATTACGGAAATACGTTACCGATTATTTGTACCTGTACGCGTACGCATATACGGCGACGTACCGCATTCAATACGGTCGTAATGAATCGGGTACACGAGTTGTCAACAGTCCCCCGTTAAGAGCCCCTGTTCGCCGAGAGCCCCGAAATAGACCGTGTAAAGTTCAGAGACCCGCGGGGGGGGTGAAAAAAAAACCCCCCGCGGAGAAACGCGACCGCGCGCGCGCGCGCTTCGTCATTCTCGGGTCCCGTCGATTGGCGCGTTCGTGCGAGTATCGCACGGTACCGACGATACGGCCGGCGAAAACACGTTTCGTTGGCCAACGGAGCGCGCCGGATATCGTCGCCCTTTGGAATCGACGGCGGACGGAGGATACCGCGAAAACGGAATTATCAACGCGGACGCGCGGCGGTCCGGCCGGCGAACGGCTCGGGATGAGTCGCGGAATTCCGGGGAGCGCGACGACGGCGACGGGCCCGCGTAATGATATTGCACGACCGGTCGGCACGCGCGGTAAAAACGCGCGGCCGCGCTTGCGCCGCCGCGTTTTCGCGATTCCGGATCCGTGAACGTTCGTGTCCGGAATATCCGTGCGAACGCACGCGTGCCCGCATCGAACATAATAATACGCGTGTACGCCGTGCGCACCCCGTGTAATCGGGTAACGGCGTCGGGCGGACGCGCAACGAACGATTTCCGAGCTCGATAACAATAATAATAGTAATAATAATTGTTATTATTGTTTTTCCGCGTTCCTTCATTTACGTCTTCACGCCCGAGAACACCGAACCGTGAAATATTGAAGCTGTACTCCGAGTGCGGCCGACACGTCATTATTACCGCCGACGGCGTTGTACGAGTTCCGTCTGCGTCTCGTTACGCGCGGAGCTCAATGTCCATAACGTCTACAAACATTACGCTTTTTAAATGCAGAGTGTTATGGGAAACTGTCACGGTTTCACTACGGTTGTGACACAGAAAAACAATCCGATTTTTTACAAGCAGCCCGGCATATGCGGTACGCGTAATGCGGATTCGTTGCCTGGCAGTGTTTTATCCAAAATATTTCTATTGGTCCTAAACGGATTTTCTAAAAAAAAAAAAAAATCAAAACCCGACAAGAAATAATTTTAAAAAACTGTCCTAGGATAATGGCAACGAGTGCGGCCACTGTTGTTGGTGGTAAGTTGCGAAGGTAGTATACAGACGGGTATTTAGTGTATATCTGTAAGCAACGTTTGACCATTGCTAACGAAAAAAAACGATTCTGAGTGGATTTCGGTTGATCGTGTTGTTTTTCGTCAACAACTATATGTATGTCGTATTAGGGCAAAATAATTCCACATGCATTATAAGTTTCTTTAAATATTTGTTAAATATTGTACCTATTTTCCGGTTATCTCGGTTTTCCCATGTTTTTTCCCATTTATTGGGAAAACTCTGCGGAACATCAAAAAAAATTACTTCCTCAAAGTACCTCCCCAGTCCGATTGCCTTTCAGAAAAAGTGCTGCCATTAAAATGCATAAAAGGCGCGCATTTATGACGAGCACAATTATAAATCAAGGTCAAGTAGTGTAACGCCGCCGAGAGTACGTTGGAGAGCGGTGAACGGGAGGGGAGGGCGATCGCCCCTATCGCCCCGGCCCCCCGAATCCGCCGGGCGGCGTGGATCGCGGAGGCAACGCCGAAATCGTTATTGAATGTAAACCAAAACCACGGCTACGTACGCTAACCGCCGGACGCGGCTGCGGTTTCCCGCCGAAACGGTATTTTTTCAAACCCCCTTTTTGTTTTGTTTCTTTTTTTTTTTTCGTTCCCGTCGACCGCTACGGTTTGTACGTAAGCGAACGAGACACGCCGCGCAACACTACGACAATTGTCCGACGCGGAAACGCGCGCCGTCGCGTCGTCGATACGAACGCGACAGTAAGTGTTTGCATAGCGGAACGCGCGCCGCACAATAGCGAGCGTGGCGTACGCGTTGTACCGCGGCACTGTGAGACGCGTTCGCTCGGATTCGACCGCAACTTATAGCGTTTGTTTTTTCTAACGCGCAAGCAACCGGACACGGTCGTCGTCGACAAGTACAGTGTACACATCACGTACGGTAGCTGTGCGCGGCGGCACGCGAGTACACGCGAACCGTCTTTTGTATTACGGTTTTCGAACGTTACGCGCGTATGAAATATATTTCGCCGAAAATCACACCGCGCGAAACGGAACCGAACGAATCCCGGATAACGCCGGATATGTTGTAACATACCGTGCAGCGTAAACCGGACTGTTTGACGTTTTTACGCGTAACCGCGATGCGAAAATGTCACTTCAGTCCAGTTACAGCCCCGTACACTCGCGTGCGTACGCGCGTGCATTTTACTTTGCACATGACGTCCGTTTTACGTTCGGACATGTCTGCGTGCGTATTGCCAGTGTGCATTACCTACACGCGTGTACGTTATTGTTACTGTACACGTATCGTTAATCCTTGAATACTATATTATGTTTTTAACGAGTTGTACGACCGTAATAGGACATAAATATATATATGTATATATATTGCGTTATACACACATACATACATACATATGTACATACCTCTACGAGAACATGGATTTTTTTTTTTTTTTGCTACGTGATGCTGTGTGTGTGTGAGTGCACAGCATGTTTAGGAGAGACCGGAGCGGAAACAATACGAAATGCATATCCGAAATAAATAATCGGGAATGATAATAATAAAAAGAAAGAACAACGGCCGGTCCGAGTTAGCACTTCCGACCGGGCTCATAAAATAGACGGGCCAAAAAATAACCGACGGCTCCGCCAGCCAACCTCCCTTTTTGCAGCAGCATCGGCAACATCAGTACTGCCCGTTCCGATATATTTATGTTGTATACATTACGCGCCACCAGATGAACGGGAGCAGAAAGGAAAAAAAAAAAAAAACCGATATATTATTTTATGAATCTGAGAAAAATAAAACTCTGAAATAATAAAAACGGCGACGCTATATATATATATATATATTTATTATCTTTCGAAAAATAAATATCGTCATTTGTTTGGCTTTAAAATATATAATATGCGAATGTGTATTATTATATCCGGCCTTCTCGTTAAAATAGTTCCGCCTCCACTCGGGGAAAAATGATATTGTTGTCACTCACGACGATTCGATTATTATTATTGTTATTTTTTTTTTTTTAACATACACTAGAAGAAAAATAACAGAGTATGACGATAATGTGAACATCGCAATATTATACGCTACTGCTCTATTTTATTAATTCAATAGTAATAATAGATATCGCATACACTTCTCCTTTAGGCGTGTGAAATCAGGAATTAACGCCTGTTAACGCTTTTGAGATGTACCTGGTACGCCAAACGTCAGGTCGATTGACGCGATGTTTGGTTTTGAGGTGTATCAAACGTCATATTTCTATAACCTCGCGTTACAATCCCGGCGTAAAAAATCTCGTGGAATAGAAGTCGCATAGTTATACTGTATACTGTACCAACTGCATACGAACTACACAAGCCAAACGCAAATAAGCCTATACTATAAAACAATACGTCATATGATTTGTTAGATACCTGCTCAAAGACTAACTCTAAAAATAAAAAAAAAATAACGTTCCGGTTAGTTTTCTGACCAACGACTATAGTAGACCCCAGACCCCTAATGTGCCCTAATCTCACACCTTGCCCATCGAACTACGCCTACCTATGTACCGTTTTATCGATAAACGCGGCATATAAATTTAACGATACCTAATGCAAAGAACCGACAATCACTTGCACTCAATATACAAGACCGTATCAATAGCGTATTCGAAATCGGGTATTTATGCTTCGAGATCCGGTGGGAGATTTAAGGGCCCCCGGCCAAATCCTAGGTCTACCACTGTTAATTGCAATATTTTAACAATGGAGCCGGGGCGTTCAGGGTTCGTTTAATAAACGGGGTCATTTTTGATAAGGACGGAGGTAGTACGCCTCCCTCCCCATAAAATAAAATAACCAGACAAGATTCACCAGACATAGTAGTGTACGACCTTCGATCATATAAATAGTACAACAACGAAAATAATAACACGTTAGTCAATAACTTATTAATAATTCAATAACACGGGAAATAAT